GAGGGTGTCTGGGCCTCCCTGGGTACCCTGCATGTGAGTCCCAAACTTTCCTTACTCCTAGCCTGCCTTACCACCACCAAAACAAAAAAAAAAGAAAAGGAAGGAAAGAAAAGAGACTCATTTGACAAAGCCAGTATTACCCTGATAATAAAACCAAATAAGGACAAAAGAAAACTATAGATCAGTATCTGATGACCATAGATGTAAAAAATCCTCAATAAAATACTTGAAAACCAAATTCAATAAAATGATCATATGCTATGATCAAATTGGTTTTGTTCTAGGGATGTAAGGTTGGTTCAACACACACAAATCAATAAATGTAATAAAGGACGTAAACAGAATAAAGGACAAAAATCACACAGTCATCTCAACAGATAGAAAAGAAGTCTTGGCAAAACTCAGCATTCCTTCATCATAAAAGCTGTGATGAAACTAGGACTTGGAGGAACATACCTTAACATAATAAATGCTGTATACAATAAAACTGTAGCCATCATTATACTAACTGGAGAAACTGAAAACATTTCCTCTAAAATCTTTGCCAACTGTTCATCTGATAAGGAGTTAATATCCAGAATATATAAAGAACTAAAAAAATTCAATACCAAAAGGACAAGCAATCCAATAAATAAATAAATGGGCTGAGCACTGGAGTCTCATGCCTGTAATCCTAGCTTCTCAGGAGACAGAGATCAGGAGGATCTAGTTTCAAAGGCAGCTTAGGCAAATAGTTTGCAAGATCTCATCTTGAAAAAACCCATCACAAAAAAGGGCTGGTGGAGTGGTTCAAGGTATAGGCCCTGAGTGCAAACCTCAGTACTGCAAAAATAAATAAATAAATGGGCAAATGAATTGATTAGACAGTTCTCAAAAAAAAGCAGACATGACCAACAAATACATGGAAAAAAGTATTCAACATCTTTGGCTATAATGGAAATGCAAATCAACACTATCCCTAGAGTCTGTCTCACCCCAGTCAGAATTGCTATCAATAGCAAAACAAACAAATAAACAAATGATGGTGAGGATGTATGTGTATATATTTGTGTGTGGAGGGGCCTTTATACATTGTTGGTGAGTATGCACTTCAATCTTTTTTTTTTTTTTTTTCCGGCACTGGGGTCTGAACTCAGGGCCTCGTGCTTGCAGCCCTGGGAATATAAATTAGTAAGCCACTATAAAAATCAGTATGAAGGTTCATCAAAAAACTAAAAGTAGGGCTGGAGGTGTGGCTCAAGTGGTAGAGCACCTGCCTAGCAAGCATTAAGCCCTGAGTTCAAACCCTAGTACTGCCAAAAAAAATTTAAAAAATAAAAAAAATAGGTGAAGGACATGAATAGACATTTCTCAAAAAACGATATACAAGTTTGGTCCCTATCACTATGGAAAATAAAATAGGACATACAAATGGCCAACAAGTGTATGAAAAGATGTTCAACATCACTAATCATCAGAAAATGCAAATCAAAACCACAATGAGGTATAATTTCACTCCAGTTAGAATGACTAGTATGAAAGAGCCAAAAAATTAATAAATATTGGTGAGGCTGTGGAGAAAGGGGACTGCTCATTAGTATAGCCCTTATGGAAAACAGTATGGAAGTTTCTCAGGAAACTAGAATGAGAGCTACTGTATGACCTAGCAGTGCCACTACTGGGAATGTATCCAAAGTAATTAAAATCAGTATGTCAAAGAGAGAAATATCTACACTTGTATGTTTACTGCAGTGCAATTCACAATAGCCAAGATAAGAATCAAGCTATGTGCCCATCATCAAGTGAAAGGATAAAGATGTGGGGGGTGTGTGTATGTACATACACAGTGAAATATTATTCAGTCATAAAAAGAATGGATTTCTGGGACTGGAAGTATAATTCGAGTACAGCACTTGGCTGACATGTGTAAGGTCCTGAGGTCAACCCCCCAGTACTGTAAAAAAGAAGGAAAGGGGAAAAAAAAGAAATTATGTCATTTGCAGCAATGAGGTGGAAATGGGGGACATTGTGTTAAGGGAAATAAGTCAAGTACAGGAAAACAAATACCAAGTGTTCTTACTTATGTACAAGCTAAAAAGTTAATCTCAAAAAAGCAGAGAATAGAATAGTGGTTACCAAAGCCTGGCAAGGATGTGGGGGAAGGAGGTATGGAGGGATGTTAGTTATCAGGTATGGAGATGCAGCTGGATCAGAGGAGTAACTTAAAATGTTCTGTGCCACATTCGGATAACTGTGGGTGATAACAATTAACTGAGTGTTTCAAAATAGTTAATAGACAGGATTTTGAATGTCTTCCAACACAAAGATATGATCTGGTCATTATACCTTGTGAACATGTATTGAAGTGTCATACTCTACCCCATAAATATGTACAATTACTATGTGCCAATTAAAAATAAAAACACATTTAGCCAGGCATGGTGCCCTGCAATTCCAGTGCTCAAGAGGCTAAGATAGGAGGATTGCTGCTAGTTCAAGTCCAGCCTGGGCCACTTAGTGAGACCCTGCCTCCAAAAAAGAATAGAAAAAAAGTATAGAAGTAATCTGAGCTTCATTGATATTTAAGGGTCCATTAAAAGATTGAGTACTGAAACCTGCAGCAAACTAATAATCCCTTAGTCAGAAAAATGCTATTTATGAACACACCTTACTCAGTTATTCCTGTCTCTCACAAGTGCCCTTCACAAGAGATTATAAGTGTAATCTCTTCACGTGTAAACACAAAACCAGGTGATTTAGTACTAGATGTACCTGACTTTCACTGAGGTGAAACATAAGTTATAACATTTCTTTTGAGGTATATATACACACACACACACACACACACACACACACACCTATTACATGTATATTTGTATGTTAGACACTAGGTTCTGGGCAATATTGTTTCCAAGGCCAAATGTGAAAAAAATTACTTAAAATCAAGCTAAGATCTCAGTAAAACTGAATGAAAAAACAAGAGGCTTTCCAATCTAAGACCTATTCTTAATTTTACCAAGTGAATTGCCTAATTTGTCATAAATTTGCCTTTCCAAAAAAGAGCCAACTTTATAGCATGAAACACAGAGAGCTTCCATTAATATTCTTTCCTTGTTTAAACTAGGTTTTTTTCTTGTACTAAGTGAAAAGTTGGCAGAGTTTCTGAGTTCACTATGAGTCTACACTTCTTTGGTATCCAAGTATGTTTAAGGCAGGGTTCCTGTAGTCAGGGAAAACTGCCTTTCCTCCTGTGGAAGCCTTTCCTCTGAGAGGCCCCCTTTCTCCCTCTGCACTTACTCCCCTGGGGCTCTTCAGTGCCATCTGTATACATTGTTCAGCAGCTTAGCAACAACAAAAGCTTCTTCAGAATTAACTCCTAATGATTCTTCTATCTAACTATGGCAGAGTGACTCTTGCCAGCTTAAGAGGCTTGTTGACCTGCATCTGCCTGACACTGGGGAAAAAGCTGGGAAATGCCATAGGGAAGAAAAACTTTTCCTCTACTCTTTTAGGTTCTATGTATGAAGACTACAAATTAAACTGAGAAAAGATTGACAGAAAAAGTTTATAAATTTTTATTGATGTTGGTATTTTAAATAATTACATACACAACAAAACTAAAAACCCAAAGAGGTAGTTATACTTGAAATCTTATATGCCACTTTAACAGAGACTGATACATTATGAAGTGACAACAGGTGGTAAACTATAGGAAGATATATAATATATAAATAATAATAGAGCTATTTTATCAAAACTGTGCAGACTTGTTGTGGTGCCAACTTTCCATCTTCATCAGCATAAAACTCCACCAGAGAAGAGATTTATGGCAGTCCTCATTTTTCAGAAGTTTCTTCCTTTAACCAGATAAAGGAAACTCAAAAAGACTTCATTCTCCATCTGTTGATTCTAAGTTACCTTCAATTCAAAATAATCCATATGCCAAAGTGGCACACTTTGGGGTGACACTTTCTGATCCCCTTTAGTGTTTAGAGAAGAAAATGTAGAGAAAAGAACATTAACCTGGTGAGTTTGCTAGCAACAAATAGAGGGACGTTGCCTAAGGCCCTAATTCTGTTTTCTAGAAAACAAGGCAGTTGGATTATATGCCATCTAAGGACTCATACTGCTCTAAAATTACTTGATTGCTGTCCTTAAGAATCTTAACTATCGCTGAGTTCAAGCCCCAACACCACCAAAAAAAAAAATCTTGAATATTGTCACTCTTGGATACATACAATTATCCCTTGTCTTTCAAAACAATATGGACCTAGGATTTGTCCACTGTACATGAAATTTCTGCCACCACACCTGAAAGAACTTATTCTTTTATATCTACCTAACCTAGGATTAATTTATCAATTCTAACAGTTACTGAAGGAAACATATTAGAAGGAGACATTAGGAGGGAGACCTTGCAGTAAGTAGAAAGAACCCAGAAATGTTTATTGCTGTTTCAAGATTGGTTATCTTTTAGTTGTCTGGCTAATGTTTCCCCAGGAACTTGTCACAATTTCTGGCATGACAAAATCTGAATTAACTCACTTCCAGGCTAACTCAGAACAAATCACTGTCCTCCTTTCATTATTATACTACAGGGTGCTTGTGGCAAGTACACAGACTTTGGAGTCAGCCAGAGGTGGAAGTTCACAATATGACTGTGCCATTTTCTGATTTTAACCTTTCTGCACCCCACATTTCTCATCTATAACATAGCAATACCTCAGTACTAACCTTAAAAATTATAAGACAATCAAATGATATGACAGGAAGAGCTTCTCAAATAACCACAGTATGTGAACAACTGACATCCTTACATTTTATGAAACACTACCATAAAATCAGTTTTGTTTAGAGCACAGTGCGGATTTGCTTTGCCTGTTAAAATATCACTTAGGTGCTAAGGCCTGAGCTCGACTTGTTGTATTGAGACCCTGGGCCTGTGGAGTTTGGTCATGCCAGATGAAGAGCCTTAGCTATTTTAGGGGGTCCCCTCTAAACCATCCTTTTATGTTTTCCAGGAATCTGAATTTCTTTGTTTGGAATTTGATGAGGTCAAGGTCAACCAAATCCTGAAGAAGCTCTCAGAGGTAGAAGAAAGTATCAGCACACTGACGCAACCTGCCTAACTGAAGATGATTTAGAAAGGAGTTGATGGTGTTGAAGTAAAAGTGTTCATGATCCCTCTCCATTGGCCTTTTTAAAATCTTGTTCCACCAGTGGAATTAAATCCTCAAATTGAAATATTGTCTGTCTCTGCTTGCTAGGGTGTCTTTCACTCTTCCATTCATTTACTCTTGGAACTGTTCTAGAACAGAGGTTTTCATATTTCAGCATAAAGACTATGCTGAAAAGACTGAAAAATTGAAAAGGAGGGGGGTGACTGGGAGTATAGCTCAGTGGTAAAACACTCACCTAGCATGCATGAGGACATGGGTTCAATCCCCCACACTGCTACCAAAAAAAAAAAAAAAAAGGCTTTTGGGGCCTTATTCTCAGAGATTTGGATTCAACAGGACTGGAGCAAGTGGGGTCAGCTTTTGAAATCCTGTGGTTGTTTGTTCCTGGGAGAAATTTTAGGAATTTATATAACAACTCTTACAATCATGCAAGAGTTAGAATATGAGGAGGAAAACATTTTAGTCCTGCAATACAAGGCTCACCAAAGCATCTTATGTTCTAAGCTGAGGACTTAAAGAATCTGGGTGAACTAGAAAAGATTTACCAGACCCTAATAAGATGCTTCTGGAACTGATTTGGGTAGTTGACTTAGTTCTGCTTGAAACTGGGGGTCTGGTTTGATCTGAGTAGAAAGAACCAAGCTTTTCTGGAGCCTTAAACTAAACATCATCACAAACCTCACTCCCTTTTCTTGCTTCAAGTCAGGAGAGGAAAACGTCTACTGAGGTGACGATATAGAGAGAGAATCTTATATTTGAAATAATGAAAACATCCAATGACTGAACATGGCATCTATATATTGTAACTTAATCAGTGTGTGCTGGAAAGAATATGCATGCATGTACTTTCTTAAGTGATTATTTAGTACAATGTTTAATTTCATATTTCCAGCTGTTTATTGTGGCTTTTTTTTGGTTCCCAGGCTACCTGTCTCTATTTTAGCCTGCCTCATTTTTCCCCTAAATCTTTGATCTCTTAAACTTTCAGAGTCATGAAGAGGCCATAGTCTGTCTTTTAGGGCTCTTTTTGGTAGAAATGGGGCATCAGTTCTCTCTAACAAGGGACTGACACTTGCATCCTATTTTGTTCAGAGGTGGGACATGGAAAACAAGTGAAATGAAGCCTTTTGCCTCAGAAAATTTTGCTTCAGTTATCAAATAAAATCTCAGAATATGTCTTCAGTAAAAACTAGTATAATAAAACTTGGTCCTAGTAGAGATGTGTGTTACTCAACTTTCCATTACTGAGAAAACAATAAATGAGATAATCAAATTAAAATGAGAAAAGACTTATTATTGTGGCTCATGTTTCAGAGGCTTCAGTCCATGATTGCTTGACTCTGTTGTTTTTGATCCTGTGATGAGGTGAAACACCACGGCAGGGAGCACATGGTACAGCATAACTGCTCACCTCATGGTGGCCAGAAAGCAAAGGAAGACAAGCATAGGAAATGACAAGGGTCTCAGTGTTCTCCTCAAGGGCATGTCCCCAGTGACCTCACTTCCTTCCACTAGGCCCTATCTCCTAAATGTTCTACCATCTCCCAGTAGTGCCACAGGCTGGCCACCAGGCCTTCAATACATGGGCCTTGGGAGACATCTAATATCCAAACAATAGCAAGGAGATTACGAAACACCAGGAATATCCAAGGAGGAGGAGGCTGCCATCCAGTATATTGAGACTATGGTGAACAGGTTCATCATTTTAGATACTGATATTTAGAAACCTCAGTTGTCTTTGTGTTGTAATTTGTTCAGAAAAATGTCCTTCTCTTAGCCTATGGCAATAACGTATGTCAGTTCTAAAGAGTTTATTCCAGGTCAGGAATAAGCCGTTCTCTGTTAAGCGCTTCTCCTAAATCAGTTTGGAGACGTTTTAGGAGCTCTTCCAGCACCCAAGCTAAAACTATTGGCTTCTTTCCTGATTAAAACCATCCCAGGAGTTAGCAAACAATGACCAGAAAGTTTTAAAAGTAGCTCCTGTGAGCCCTTCAGAAAACATCTTGAAACAGTACTCACGTAGATCCAGAAAAGGCATGTGGTTTGGCAAAAAAAGCTATTAAAACTTACTTTCTATTCCCAGAGCTACTACCATGTGATTCGGGAGAATTTAGATAATGTCTCCTAATGTAAAATGGAGGAAAAGAATATCTCATCAGATAATGAGATTCCAGGCAGCCCACACAGCCCTGGCGGTCTGTGGAAACATGAAGGAAAGGTACATGGTCCACTCACTGTTGTGGTTTGAAGCTCTCCTTCGGTCATCCCATGAAAGTCATAGCCACAAAAGTAGGCATGGGCTTTAAAAAATGTTTTTTAAATTTTTTTGGTGATGGTACTGGTATTTGAACTCAGGGATTTGCACTTGGTAGGCAGGCACCCACCATTCACCTGAGCTACACCTCCAGCATTTTTTACTCTGGTTATTTTGAAGGTAGGGTCTCACTTTCTGCCCAGACCAGCCTGAACCACAATTCTTGTATTTCACATTTCCTGGTGTACATAGGATAACAGGTGCACAACCAGCTTTTTCTGTTGAGATGGGGTCTCACAGGCTCAAGTGGCAGAGCACCTGCCTAGCAAGTACAAAGCCCTGAGCTGAAACACCAGTACCACCAAAAAAGAGAGATGTGGGTCTCATGAACATATTTGCCCATGCTGTCCCAGATTCCCCCAATGTCCAGTTATTGGTTGAGATGGGGCCTTGAGAACTTTTTGCCCAGCTTGTCCTCTAACCACCATTCTCCTGATCTTAACCTCCCAAGTAGCTAGAATTACAGGTGTGATCCACCAGTGCCCAGTGGCTTTTTAAAATTAATTTCCCAAACCCTAGGTCCAGAAAAACTGTTAATATATACTGAGTCCCCCAAAAAACAAAACTGGTTGTCAACAATGTCCCCACATTTTATAAAACACTTTTGAGTGAAAGTTGTTTTGAACAGGGTATATTTTATATTTAATTATTTAAACTTTTTATTACTGGAGGAGTAGATGCTTATTATCCTCCCACTATAAGAATATTGTGGTCCTGTTAATACTCCTGTATTATAAAAATGCAGAAATATACCAAGAAGGGTTAAATGATCTATTAACCTAACATACAAAGAACTAGGAAAAGAGATGACTTTCCTTCACTAAATTCCTGGAAGTGGAATACATGGTTTTTAAGACTTTGATAAATGCTCTGCCAGATTGCTCTTGCGAAAGGTTCTATCAGTTTGTATTTCCTTTATGAGGTGAGAAAATCATTCCGTTTCTTGCCTAATTGGATATTACCTTTGTTTTGTTTTTTCTAGAACCAAGTTATTTTTATAAATCTTTATAAGGGGCACATATGCAACCAGGACTCCCCCTGCTAATAATGCAAGCACAGAAAAAGGACCAGGGAAGAAGAAAAGCATAAGGGGCCCAGAGACACCCCCCCCCCCAGGTTATCTACCTCTGTGATCCTGGATCATTTACTTTGAGTTCAGAAAATGTAGGGTAAAATAAATAACTAGTCTGAATTAGGCCTTATAGCAATTATCTGTGCTTCAGCAATAAGCACTTTAACTTCAGTCCAACCAAGCCAAAAGTTAGCTTTCAGAATCAAGCCAGAAAGCAGCTCCAGACTTCAGGGGTTTTGTGTTAATGAGCAAAAGAGTTGGCCTTATTCTCGGGCCTGGCTTTTCTTGGAAGTGCTAATTCTTACCAGTTTATCAGTAAAGCCTAAATTGTACCATTATAACCTCCTCTTCCCTTTATATAATCGCTCTTCCCCCAGTATAATTTTAATGATGATTCAAAAAAGAATTATAGCATTTTTTAAAATGTAGCTTAACTATTCTCCCCTAAAAGCAAGAAGGTGGTGAAAAGCAAAGGATAACATTGAATATCTGAAATGCCAAATAGCTGACATCGTGTCAAGCTATTAATTATTGAAGTTCTTTTTTTAGATCTGGGAGAAAATTTGAAGAACAGAGTATAAGTAGAAATTAAAGGAAAATAAATGTTAAACAGATATTAGAAAATATGTTCTGAAATGCACAGTAAATATCTAGACCAGTGTACTGGACAAGGAAGGAATCCTAGGGTCAACTGAGAAATGATTGGATACTTTCCCAAGAGAACAGGATCCTTTTCCTCACTGTAAGACAATTGCTATGTTAAAATTCTTATTTCTCCACCTTTGTAGACAAGATGCTCAGCTATTGGTGTTTATTTGTTTATTTATTTTGGTGGTACTGGAGTTTGAACTCAGGGCCTTACACTTGGCTAGGCAGGTGCTCTGCCACTTGGCCACTCCACCAGCCCTTTTTTGAAGCCTGAACTGGCTTTAAACAGCAATCCTGATTTCTGCCTCCTGAGTAGCTAGGATTACAGGCATGAGACACCAGTGCCTGACCCTCACATACTTTAGATGGTGATTTTGTCCACTGAAGGGAAACCTAACAAGAACCGAATTATCCTGTGCTTAACTTTTTTAACCGTAAAATTTAAGAAATAGCACTTTTTACCTAAGCGTGATGATTTTTTCATTAAATGGAGATGGCCATAACTGTCTCTCTTAGCATCACAAGGGAATGCAACCTTGAGCTAGCCTTTGTTGCAAAGGAACCTACTTAGGCCTGCTTCCTGTCAGATAAGGGTGCCAACTGGCATATGTATTTGTTCCATACATAAATTATCAGGATAAAATACTAATGCAGTACATGAGCAGATAGTAAAATATGGTTGTATATTTTACTTCTTACTCACTAAGAATTGTGATGTTATTTTCTCTTTCTCATGTTCTTGACTAGTTTTATGGTTCCTGCTGGTATTAGGGTTTCAAGTCCATTGTTGGGGGGAGAGATTAAAAAAGGGAAAAAATGTGAGTTTGAGTGATTGCTCAAATGGAATAAGCTAAAACCGTTAGTTTAAGAAACATGAGGATTTTCTACAAACATGAAGTTTTCTTTAGAATAATGGCCAAGAATTGGCACAGATCTCAATAACTGATGCAGAGACTCTGGTAGAGGTTATTTTAGCATCTTGTCAAAAAAGAGGAACTATCTGGATAGACAGCAAAGGATTTGTAGAAGG